AAGTGTTTCCAAAGCAGAATATAGGGAGCAAAAGAGGCAGGGTTAGTAGCAGCCAAAGGCTAAATAAACACTGAAAGGGTGCAATCGCTACATCTTGGTTTTAAATCAAACAGATAAAAGCCCAATTTATTTATGTAACCCCCTCCACCCTAAGCTCTAGGTCCACCCTCCCCCCCACACACACCTTCTTACCAGGGGTTTTGGGGGAAAATTCTTCCTAGAGTCAGTTCAATTTAGATACTTCCTAGGAAAACCAGATTTACAAACAAGATGAGATTAGGACAGTACTTCCATCAGAAAAAAAAATAATTTGTTACTTGATCCCCCAATTCTTTTACTGCCTCCACTACTGGCTACTGGAGACAGCAGTCTAAAATTAATACCTGGGCTTGGTAAACATTCTGCCCAACTTTAAGCTAAAACTATAAATTCACTCATGAATTTGCCCTTTAAACTGACATAATTCTAGGGAATGGTCAATTACCTAAGGGACCTGAAACCAGTGAATGAGAAAGCTTGCATACATAACACTTAGCAATAAAATACAAAGATACCAACAAAGAAAGAACATTAGCTTAGACTCCCCAGACCCATCCACTGCTCTCTGCTTCCCAAATCTGAAAATACTGAACTCAGACCGGACCGCTTGGTAAAGGACTTAAAGAAGCTAACAATAGGTTAACATTTTACAGTTCCTATCTTTACTGAAACTTTCCAGACCACAGGTTAAAAAAGCTACCTTGCTTGTATTAGAATTTACTTTTCAGATGTTAGAGAGATGGCTCTCTGGCTACGTGCACCTCCTGCTCTTCCAGAGAACAAGTTCAGTTTCCAGCACCCACATCAGTTTGCTTACAACTGTCTGTAACTCCAGCTCTAGGGGGATCTGATGGCTTTTGCCTCTATGGACAACTGCACTTACATGCACATACCCTCACTCAGACACACACATACACATAATTTAAAATAAATTTTACAGTTTTCATTATCACATAAAAATTCATTGGCAAAAACTCTGAAAATACTCATTCCTTTTAATCTTTAAGAGTTAAAGATACAGGGGCTGGAGAGATGGCTCAGCAGTTAAGAACACTGGTTGTTCTTACAGAAGACCCAGGTTCAAACCCCAGCACCCGCATGGCAGCTAACAACTGTAACTCCAGCCCCAGGGGATCTGACAGCCTCTTCTGACCTCCGCAGGCATTGCACATGGGTGCACTTACCTACATTCAGGCAATACATGCATACACATAAAATAAAATTTTAAAAAGAGTTAAAGATACAGAAATAAATGTTCATATCCCTTCAACATCTGCTAGTGTGGCTCTGTATAAGGCTAAGACTAAGATTCTAAGTTGTTGTTTTCTGTGGGGCTTTGGTTTTGCTTTCTTGAGACAGGGTCTCCCTATAGCCCCAGCTGGCTGGAACTCTGTACATAGACCAGGCTGGGCTTGATCTCACAGAAAGCCACCTAACTCTGCCTTCCAAGAGCTGGGATTACAGGTATGAACCACCACTCCCAGCCAAAATTCCAAGTTTTCCCAGAATTCAACCTCAGACCCTCATTCCTGAGTCAGGGCCCCTTTAAGCCCTAGATTTAAACCCTTAAGATTTTACTAAATGCTGCTTTGAAAAAAGAGCTTTATTACTCAGGAGGCTGATACAGGTGGATTATGAGTTCAAGGCCAGTTTGGGTTACATAAGGAGATCCTGCCCAAAATGGGAGGTGGGTAGAGAACAATTTCATTAATTCTTTCTGGAAATGTTAAGACACATCATTATAAGAATTTTAGCCAAGACAGAAAAGGTAAAACTTACTAAGCTTTATTCTACTTTTATGGGACTTAAAACAATTTTATTATTTCAGAATTAGCAAGATAGCTCAGCAGGTAAAGATGCTTGCTGCCAAGCTTGGGAACTTGAGTTTGATCCCTAGGTCTTCTGACCTTTACACACATACCCTGGGGTATGTATGCCCACACATATATGTATACACACATAAAATGTAATAAAAAAATCTTAAAAACCAATTATTTCAAATTTTCTTGTCTGGAAAGTTATTAAAATTCAGCTATGTTGAGAAAAGAAGTGTTTGGTACACAAAGTTGGGAGAGTCACCCCCACAGTGGGAGGAGCCCTTCTCCAGACCTCTGGCTCTCAGGACCAACTAACTGCTCTGACACACATGGAATGGTAGACACAGCACATTCCTTCCAGGCATCAACACTGCTGCACTAATGATCAGAAGACCTATATTGACTTCTACAGGAACAGGAGATTCCCACCACTTAACACTTAAGGTTCATCCTGTAACTGAGATGAACCCACAGACCACCATCTTTTCTATATCATCCATCATGATCCTTGCCATGCCAGAACACACAAAATGTAATAGACTGGGCTAAGGCAACAAAAAGACCTAACATCTAATTCCATGACTTGATGTGTGAGTCTGTTTCCTCATCTTTAAAGTTGGTCCATATTGTGTTTAAGTTTTTATTGGGGCACATAATAAGGAATTCATCAAAACTGAGCCCCAAAATTTGTTTTTCAATAATTCCTGATTTCTCTTTAGAGGTCAGTAGGTACTATACACCCCTCGACCTTTAGTTCACTCACATTACCTCAAGACTCTACATAGAGTTTGGGTTATAACCTATTTTAAGGATTGAAAAACTGGACTGTGCTCACTACTAGTTCCCTTGGTAACGACCTTGGTATTGAGCTTGGAGTCTTACAACTTTATCTTCCTCCTCCACTTCTGCTTTATGAACTTAAGTGTGCCACAACAGTGCAGTCATCTGTAGTGAAAGGACCCCAGAGCCATTCCTAACTGCAAATGTCCCCATGATCATTAACCGTAGCATCAGCTCCCAAGCCTCCTGACTGCTATACAGGCTGAGACAGCCTTCCTTTCACACTGAGGAGCCTGGACCACGGGGATTGTCTGTAAAACAATCATTGAGAGGAGGAGGAAGACAAGTATTTTATACTACAAGGCTGACTTAGCTAGAGTTGTCAACTTTCTATAAACAGACCATGCACTGCAGATGACTCAAGTTTAGATAACTGTGGGAATGAAATAAGCCAAAAAAAAAAAAAAATCTAAACTCTACAGCAACATGCTCTGGGAGTTCCAAGCAAGCTCCAGGAGGAAGGTGAAACTACCAGTTGCGAGTCAGGAACACTACTGTCCTTAGAACCTTCCTGACATACTCTAGCCTGAGGGGACATCAGAAGCAAGTCAGCCAGACAGCCCCTTTCGACGGATCCCAAAAGCAAACCAGGAACACAATCCCCAACTTGTTCTGAGGTTTTGTTTTGCCTGTTTCCGGTTTTCAACCCAGAGTGCATCCCTAGATTCAAACAGAACTGGAGCCTGGGTGAAAACACTCCTCGGCTGAGACTGACATTCTGCAACTGGCACATGTGGATCGGGTCACCTAAGAGGTGGTCGGGAAGCCACCAGTCCCTTTCCAAGGACTAAGCTTGACCCACTTGCCTTGGCCCCAGCAAATGACGCAGACCAGCAGTTTACTCAGGTGCCAGAAGACAGTGGGGAGGCAGCACCGTAGCCAGGGAGACCAAAGGAAGCAGTTGCCAGAGAAATGCGTTCTTCAGAAGCGGGCCTGGAGGCCGGGTGGGGGAGGGGGAGGCCTGCGGCTGGCAGCCCGGGGCAATTCCGGGTCTCCGGTGCTTCCGACCTTTTCCACAAGCTTAAGGCGCGGCACGATGGGGTGCGGACTGTAAGGTGCAAAATACCACTCCGGGCCCAGGGCGCTGACACGCGAGGCTGCACGGAGCTCTGCAGTCCAGGTACTCGTGCTTTCTCGTTCTGGGCAGCCGAGGGCCTTTTGCAGGCCCTGTGGCCTTGCAGGGACCTCTGGAAAATGAAGCCCACCCTCAAGGGCCGCTGGAGAAACCCAGGGGGTGGGCAAGGCCCGCACAACCCCAGCTGGGTGGGCCAGCGGGACAAGATTCCCTTCCCCGTCTGGAGTTCCCGTGACCTCAGGGACGCCGGGGGCAGACACCTTCCCATGGCGGCATCTAGGCCCAGAGAGGCGGCTTGTCAGCCCGACCCCCCAGCCTCCAGCCAAGACTCCCCAAAACCTGAGGCCCGAGGTGGAGGACACACGAACCCCGACGCACCCCCCGACACCCCAACTTTGGGCACCTGGCCTTGATGGCTGTGAAAACCTTGGGGACACCAGCGAGGCAACATGACTGCGTCTCGCCGGGCCGCAGAGAGGAAAGTGGACGCTGTGGAGGACCAGCGTGCTCCAGGGCGGCGCCCCCTCGCGGGCTGCGTGGCGCCCGCTCCGGGCTCCTGAGTTCGAAGCCCTCCCAGGCGGGTCACACACTCTGGGCAGCGCACTCCCTCACCTGGCCCCGGCCACCCGCAGGGCTCCAGAACCTATTGAACGTGTGAAGGCACGTGACTTCCCCGGACTCGCAGAGCGCTCGGCCCACACGAGGGGCACGAGTCTGCGGCTGTAAAGGGGCCCTGCTGGTGCCAACGTGGTGGAGGGCCTCCACCGCCCGCAGCACCGCCCCTGCCTGCTGCCTGGCGCCAACGTGACAAGCAAGGGGCGGGAGCTGCCAGCGCCGCCTGCGGCTTCGCGTCTCCCGTGCGACGGCTGCGAGAGAAGGAAACGCTCCGAACGCTGGGACGCCCTTCCGACCCGTCAGCTCCAGTCTGGACTTGCGTTCGAGGCCCAGGGCGGCTGCAAGCGCAGCTCCCAGGTTCCAGCGGCCGCCCCCGGAGGGCCGCGGCGCCTTTAAGCCCAAAGGCCTGAGTCACGAGGAGGCTCCCTGCCCCCTCCTGCCCCACACCCTTCCACGAGGCCCCACGACCCGCGGGCATGTGACCTGCGCGCCCCGCCCGGGACGCTCACAGAGGCGGGGGCGAGGAGGGCCTGTGGGGCCGGTCAGACTGCGCACAGACCGTTAGCTGTGGCGCCGGGAGCCGCCCGGCCCCGCCCAGCCCAGGCGGCTCTTACCAGAGGAAACGCCATGGGGCCCGGCGTGGCCCTGCGGGAATGCCGGGCGGGCGCGGCGAGGGACGCGCACACACGTGGGCACTATTTTTGCAGCGAGCCGCGCACAGCTCGGCGTCCGGCTGCTTATAAAGCTCCGCGGAGCCGGCCGGATGAGGAGCACCTGTGTCGGCCCCGCCCGGCCTCGCCCCCGCCCCCGCCCCCTGGGCTCCTTGCCGCCGTCTAGACCTGGGCTCCACCGCCCATCCCCGGCACTGGGATCCTAAGGAGGGCCGACCCCTCCGATGCTGCTGGCCACGGCCACTCCTGGAAACCCAAAGATCCAGGCCTGCGCGCACCACTCACCCAGTGACCCGGACCAAATCACTGTACCCTGGGCCTCAGTTTCCCCTTCGTGGATGTGCAAGCTCCTGCGTTGCGGCAGCGAAGTGCTGTCTTGTTAAAACCGTATGCTTATGCCCCTCCTTGTCCATTGGCCTCTTAGGGTGATAGCCAGGCTTGCACGAACCTTAGCCCCGACCTCCGGCAGGCACGCTCACTTGAAACCCACTGCTACTGCAGCGCGAGCGAGGTGGAAGGTGGAATGGGGAGCGCGGGCGTGAGGGAATTCCGGAAAGTTCCAAAGACAGCAGTGATCGCTTTGGATTGCAATTCCCCAGGGAAGCCGCTTCCGACGCGCCAGATAGGATCGGAAGCTTTACAAAGATTGGGGCAAGAGACCGGGGTGAGTTGGGCTGACTAGAAAGGCGTCGTGGGCCAGCTGGAGTTGGAGCGGACCGGAAGCCCGGGAAGCGCAGAGGCGGAGATGGCATTCCGGGCTGGAGACCAAGGGGAGGCGGAGAGGGAGGACTGCACGGACCGGCTCGATCTGACCAGGACTGAGGCTAATGCGTGTTGATACCACAGGAGGGAAGCCTGAGCCCGGTTTGTAAAGGGCTGTTTGTTCTGTTTGGTAGCTGGAAAGTAGTAAATGATAAACGGTGCTTGGAAGATATCGTGTCTCTTTTAAGGTTTACTGGAGACTAAGTAGAGGTTGGAAATAAAGAGACTGGAGGGGAAACGACTAGAATTTATTGAGCATCACTAAGTGTTTTACATGTTATCATGACATTTATTAAGCGCTTATTATACTCAAGGCTCCTCCTGATAGGCAGGAAAGAAGTGGCCACCACCTTCCTGGCAAGCTAGTGAGGCTGGCCGAGGAGAGGGCAGTAACTAAGGCTTCTGCTCAGGGTGATAGAAAGACTGTCAATGGCCCTAGTTTAGACTAGTGTTTCAGAAGGGTTGATACAGGGAGAAGGTAGGGAAGGACAGATGCTGGAGTTGAAGTCCAAAGGGAGCTATGCAAGTAGCTTATGTCACCTGCTCCAGACCGCACATATCTTGTCTTCTGTCCCTCTTCTTGGGGGGCGGGCGGTGAGCACACTCACATGCTTGCTCCACAGGAACTAAGTGAGGGTGCAGGAAAAGCTCTCAAGGTCCAAGGCACAGCTTGTCAGCCAACCATAATGATTCATGCATGTAATCCCAATACTGGGAAGGCTGAGCAGGACGATTGCCTTGCATTAGAGGCCAGCTAGACTGCAGTATGAGATTCTGCCCAGAAATAAATAAAATGAAAGGATGGGGGTAGCTGATAAGTATCAGATACATCTTCCAAGAAAAGCTAGAAATAGAGTTTTAAAAATGTGAAATCTTTAATGCGAATTTTAAATCATGCAGCAAGCACCCTGGCAGCCAGTTTGTGATCCCTCACACCCAGTCCTTCTTCACCCCCCAAGTTAAGCAAGATAAAAATATAAAACTTGGGGTCGGGGGAGACTGGTGAGATGGTTCAGCAGTTAAGAGCACTACCTGCTCTTGCAGAGGACCCAGGTTTTGGTTCCCAGTACCTTCATGGCACTTAACAACAGTCTCTAATTCCAGTTCCAGGGCAGCTGATATCCCTCCTTTGGCCTCTGTGAGCATTCATTACATGCACGGGTGCACTTACATGCACGCAAAACTCATAGGCATAAAATAAGCAAATTAAAAATAATCTGAAACTTGAAATGGCACCTAAGGGCCTATGGGAATGGGTGTCTGAAAGCTCTTTCAAATTTGTAAGCTCCTGGTCTATAAGAAAAAAACTTGAAACAAGAATTTCTCCTGTTTAAATCACTCTCCTTAAACTTTGTTGAAGGCAAAAAGAATAATTCCTCTGAAATGAGTGCTTAACTGTATGGTTAGCTCAGCTCCAAGTGTTTTCTTATGTTAACTCATTTGGTAGGTGAAGAGACTGATACTCAAGGAGTATTACTGTTAAGTAACTTATGCTAGACCTTTAGCTATTTGTAAGTTTAAGCCAGCATAGTCTACAAGGTAAGGCCAGTCTGGGAAACTTGGCAAGACCCCGACTCAAGCAAAGAGAGCTGGGGATATGTCAGTAGGAGAGTGCTTCTGTAGTATGTAGGAGACTCCAGGTTCAATCCTCAGTATACATAAAAATCGTAATTGGGTAAGTTACTCAAGGACCCTTCACTAGCAACCATAAAGCAAAGTCTTCTTCTGGTTTCATAGCCTGATGAGAATAAAACTTATAGTGTCCTCAGCCTCCCTCCCCCTTTATACATTTATTATTTGTGTCTCTTGTGTGAAAAAACAGTTTTCAGGAGTCAGTTCTCTCCTTCCACCATGTGGGGTAAGGGGATTGAACTCAGGTCATCAGGTTTGGTGGCAGATACCTTTACCTGTTGAGCCATCTTGCCAACTCTCTCCCTTTGTAATTTGAGAGTCTCTATATGTAGCCCAGGCTGACCTTGAGCTTCTGATCTTCCAGTCTCAGTCTTGAGCACGGGCATGACAAGTATGCACCACCATGACCAGGTTACTTATAGCACCTTTACCTGTCTACTTCTATGTGCATGACCCCAGAGCTCACTGCTAGTGGTGAGGGAGGAAGTAAAGGTGTCAAAATAGTTATGGCCTCAGGTGTGCAGGATTCCTTGTCTCTGGGCCATACTTGCCTAGGCCTATAGGTCATACTGGAAGCACAATCTTGTAACTAGGAGGAATCCACCCTATACCAGGCAAAGTGTGGAAAGTGATAAGGGGCAGAGATATTAAATGACTTGGTCAAATCTCCACAGCTGGTCACTAGCAGAAGTGTCCCGAACAAGCAGGCAGCATTATCCATTCTCCCAGTCAACAAACATCCTTTGAGTCCAACTATATATACCTTGAACTAAGACAACAATTCCATAGAGAAATGGGTGAAAGATGGGGAACAGGCAATTGACCTGAGTACAAACCCAAATGACCAATAAGCCTATTAGTAGAGGTTCACCAGGGAAATGCAAACACAGCCACAGTGGTGGAATTTCAGACCCCAAGTAGATAAAATGACAACAACCCCATAGCAGGATGGCTGTTAATGGAGGTGTAAATTGATTTGGGCACTTATTATTATTTACTTATCTTTTTGGTCTTTTTGAAGCAGGGTCTCCCTGTAGCCCCAGCTGTCCTGGAACTCACTATGTAGACCAGGCTGGCCTTGAACTCAGAGATCCGTCTGCCTCTACCTCCCAAGTGCTGGGACTACAGGCGTGCGCCACCACCCCCTGCTATTCGGGCATTTTTTTGTGTATATTTGTTTTTCCCAGAAAAGGCTATTTTTATTCAAGTAACTGCAAATAGGAAACCAGAGGGGGCACCCCAGGCTGGGACAAATGGCCAGCCCCACCACAGAACAAGGGGAGACCGGTGGCCTCTACATCCTTTCTAATCTAGATGGGCCCTTCTCCTCACTCCACTGTAGGGCCCAACCTTCCCACCATCTTCCCTGGGGTGGTTGGTAATCCAGTCTGCTGTGCCCCACCCCCTTTCCCCCCAGAAGATCTTGGTGGGAGTTGATGAAGATGAATGTTTGGCACTGGTAGGAGCAGCAGTGGTGGGTGTCTAAGAATGAACACTGAAGAAAAAAACAACCGAGGACAAGATGAACCAGAGCCTGTGGGTAGGAAAGACCATTTTTCATTTTTGGTTCTTTGAGACAGGGTCTCTGAAGCTTATACTCAAGTAGTCACCATTCATTGTCAAGACAGAATCATACCAGACCCCCAGGTTCCATCCTGTCCTTTCCCCCTTTGTGCCTCCTCATCACAGATTTTGCTTGTTCTTATCTTCTGTAAGTATTGGTTTCTGCACCAGCACATCTGCAGAGTCTATCCAAATTGCATATAGCAATGTTTGTGCCTTTGTATTCCAAAATGCTATGTATGGATATAACAGTTTACTTCTGCATTCTCCTATCGACTTACATTTGAGTTGACTCCAATTTGGGAACCACTGTAACACTGCTGTAGACATTGTTCGTGTGAGATGCTTGTCTGGTGAGATGCTTGTCTTTCTCTAAGGGGAAGACATACATATGATGCAGGAATGGTACTCTAAAGAATATATGTTGGTTATGCTGGGTGTGGCAGCACAAGCCTTTAATCCCAGCACTCTGGAGGCAGAGGCAGGCAGATCTCTGTGAGTTCAAGGCCAGCCTGGTCTACTTAGTGAGTTCCAGGTCAGCTGGGGCTACAGGGAGACCCTGTCTCAAAAAAAAAGTATATATATATATATATATATGTTAGTGAAACTTTGACATGTGCTTAAAGAGGCATTGCACACATGTATGAAAATGCCTGCAGCTGCTTTGCTCGTAGTTGCAAAAATAAAATAACCTGAATGTCCCACCAACAGGGGAGTAGATTAGTACATGTGCAGTCATAAAATGGAATAGTAAATAGTGGACACACACGTGTATAAATGAAGTAAAGTGAGACATATCAGCAAGACTCAGTAGTGGGTGAAGAAAGCAAAATCCAGAAGACATACTTTGAAATGTCATTCACATACAAATTTTCTTTTTTAAAAAATATTTTATTTTTATCTTATGTGTATGTGTATTGCTTGCATGTATGTAAGTGCACTGGTGTCATGCAATGTTCTTGGAAGTCAGAAGAAGTCATCAGATCTCCTTGAACTGGAGTTACAGTCAGTCGTTAGCTGTCATATGGGTGCTGAGAATTGAAACCCGGTCTTCTGTAAAAGCAGTCAGTCTTTTAACCACTGAGCCATCTCTCCAGCCCCACATACAATTTTCAAGTGAGCAGTACACTATCACAAAGTAAGGTGTGTTTAGGAATACATCTGTGTATACTAAAAGTATCCCAAAACATATGGCATTGATAATCAGAAAATCCAAAATGGCAATTTCCTTCAGGCGGGAAGGGTGTGTGAAAAGGGGAAGGCAGGTTATCTAGTGAGGGATCAAGTTGATTCCTTCCTGCTTTAGTCTTAAATTGGCTGATAGAGCACAGGTGTTTCTTTTATTCTCTTTAAATGCCCCGCCCCCTTTATTTTGAGACAGAGTCTTGTGCTATATAGCCCAGGCTGGGCTGGAACTCAGAATTTTGAGTGTTGGGATTACAGACATGCACCACTATAGCTGGTTTATTTTATTTATTTTTGGGTCTTTTTTGAGACATGGTCTCCCTGTAGCCCCAGCTGGCCTGGAACTCACTATGTAGACCAGGCTGTCCTTGAACTCACAGAGATCCACCTGCCTCTGCCTCCTAAATTCTGGGATTAAAGGCATACAGCACCACTCCTGGTTTGATTTTATTCTTTATTCTTGGAATATATAACTTTTTAGAGAGACGAGAAAACTAGGCATGGTGGGGTGGGCCTGTAATCTGAATACTAGGAAGGTGAAGACAGGAAGATGCAGAGTTTGAGGCCAGCCTGGGCTACATAGTGGAGACCCTGTTTAAATAGATAAGGGATGGGAGTAATTAAACACTAACTACTAGTAAGTGAAAATTGGCTGAGGGAGGGAGAAGTGCTTTTAAGTCTTTGCATATTTTCCCTGGTTTAAATACTGCTTTCCTGGCTGATTTCAAACTATTACAGTGATACCAACTGGTTGGCAAAATTCCTGAAAGTAATGTCCATGAACCAGCTCCACTAACACAGCACTCAGATACTGCGGAGCAAATTGCTCTGAAAGCTGGAATCTCAGGCTCCCTCTGGCTCTGAGGACTTTCCTAATA